CCGGCTCGAGATCGGGTGCGCGGGGCTCTCGCTGGTCGGGGCGAGCCCCGAGGCCCGCCAGCGGCTCGAGCGGGCGGTGCTGGACGGCCGCGTGGTCCACACGTTTCGGGCGGAGGTGCACCAAGGGTATTGTGTCACCCTGAGGTCGGTATCCTTACCATGGAATGGAGTAAGCAACGTAGTGCTTCGCCGCCCACCAGACCACCCCAACCCAACCCGAAGGCCCCAGTCTGCCTTCCATTCCCAATGGGGGGGGGATCGGGGAGCATTGAACAAACACGTGTGGAACCCGTACCCCCCAACAGGAAATTCGGGTCTTCGGATTCGGTTGGGGTGGTCTGGCAGGTAGTCCGTGTTTTTGTTGGCCCTACAATGTTGACACTGCGTAAAATCGGGGGAGCGTAAGACCCTGGTTTGCCAGGACTCGGGTTCGCCATTTTTTTTTGACGACCGCGACTCGGATTTTGACGAGGAGGAGTTTCGTGGGATGTCTGCAGCGGGAGGCCTCGTCAAAATGCAGGCTCGGCCTCGTCATTTTTTCGACGACCTCGTCGGGGATTTCCGAGTCCCCCGTACCCGGGTCTTACGTCTCCCCGATAAAAGCACTGCGTTGTTGAATGCATCTCGGGGTTAGCGACCACACTCGAGGTGCACGGGCGCGCGGGCGCGCCCGGAGAGCGGCGGGCGCTGCAGCTGCCAAAGAAGTCTCCCCAGGACCCTTTTGGCTTCGCGAGGAAGCTCTGAGATCCTGTCGTGGCCTCTCGGCGGCGAGCGAGGGGGGGGAAGCGAGAAGGAGAAGGCCCTCTCAGCAGGCGGCGTGGCTACTCAGAAGCCCTCCAGCCTTCTGAGAAGTCTTCTCTGGCTCAGAAATCTGGTCAGAAGGCAGTGGGATTTCCGAGCCTTCTGAGAAATCCCGCCCCCTCTCACTTTACCCCGGGCTGGCCGCCGAGTCTTCTCTCGCAACGGGCGATCTTGCCCTGTTTCGCGCCCCGGGGCCCTCACGGATCGATGCCCGCTCGGGAAACGGCAAGATGGGGCCCAGGCTTCTGGTCGAGTTGTTTTACGATGTTGCGATGACTACATGGCATAACAGATTTTAGGGCCACGGCAGCCGGCGATTTGACCCGACCGTTGCGCTGACCAAGACAATTGGGCCCCGCGCGCACATTCGGGAACAAACGCCGAAGGTTCTGGTCGGGATCACTCGAGGCAATCTGATGTTCGTGACGTCGGATCTCGGGGAAGGAAGGCTCGTCGGGCCAGACGAGAGGGTAGGATAGGTAAAGGGGGGTCTGCGAAAACTGCTGCATGCAGCTGGATTCCGCCCTGTCGCCAGCCCCATTCCTCGAAGCATGGGCGCCCTCCCGGCGCCAGGAGGCGCCAGACAAACCAGCTCCGTAAGCTGATTCTCCACCCTACCCTTAAGTCGGACCTGTCCCTCGACAGGTGGAATTCAAACATAGTAAAAGAATAGTCTGGGGACGATCTTCGAGAATTTGCTTAGCATGTTCTCAATATTTTGCTCACTAGTATCCATTCTTCGTATAAACCGACCCTGTGCTATCCTACCCCTTCGTCCCCCACGAGCCCGGGGTCGGGCAGCCGGGCCCGAGTACCGCAAGCTCACCGAAGCCGGCGGCCGGGGTCGCGGGGCCGCCCTCGGACAGCCGCTGCGCAGGGCCCCACCACGTACGCTGCAGGAAAGGGTCGAGAGCCCCTTGAGGCCTCCGAAGCCAACGCATTCACCTTCTATAACGGACTGTTTCCATACAACGCTCGATTTGGACGGCAACCAGCGATGCTCCCTGACCTCATTGTTCAGGACCACGAGCAATCGACGAAAACATCAGATCATTCTCGTGAGCAGACGATACGCAGGGTATGAGGCTATCTCTGTATTGAGGCTATCACACAGGCCACGGCAGTAGCCAAGACCAATCGTGCCTTACGCACTAAGACGACAATTACTGGTCAGCACCATTATGACGACTACCATCGCCCTACGACCACGAAGGATGACTGGGGAGGCTGGAACGGCCCGTTCCCAGTCGTACGGAATGATCCCGAAAGGGGTCAGGCCATCATCCGAGTAGGCAATCGATATGTTCAAGTACAGTACGGCGATGCAACACATTTACTATACATTGAAGCACTCATAGCCCGGGAAATTGGTTCCGACAACATTGCAGTACGCACAGTGTTAACATTCGTAGCCGGCCTATCAGCGGGGAGACCTGCTTTGACATGTGGCTATGCGCCGACCAAGAAAGGTACGCTTCAGATGACGACTGTAAGTCGTCTATCCCCTGAGTTACACTTGGCCTTACAATATCTTATCAGAACTTTCATTCGCATTGTGAATGTAGTTTCGGTCAGATTCGCCCAGAGTATCCATAAGCCACCTCTGGTTACTTATGCCGACAGCTGCACATTGGCCCATTACGACAACGACTTGAATCCCATTACTACGAAACCGAAAGTACTGCCCTGAATATATATATATATGATATAACTGGATCAGCACATTCACAATCATCCAATGCCTTAAGTGCACTCAACCTCAAGCAGCTTTCGATCAGGACATTTCAAAATTTGAGGAGTTGGCTGTGCGCCGACACCGGAAGGAACCGTAAGAGAAGCTTCAGAAGCCGAACCAGCACATGATGACGGACGGCTCTCTACGATTTACGTGGAATCAGAAGCTGAGCTTGAGTCGTATGCTATGGAGGTGTGGCACGCAGAATTGCAAGAGGAAAGACAATTGATGGAGGTAACTCCACCAGAAGACCTATTTACCATACCCACACATATGGTTGCGTATCAGAGCGTGCTGATCACTGTAGCTGATGAACAGGTGAACAGAGTGGGGACGCACTCACGACTCCGATACCGAGGAGACGTACTACGCCCCCCCTGTGCACCATGGTCGAAGACAGCTACGGACTCGACTCAGACGAGAGTGGTCGATACGTTGAATGATGCTTTGCGGCAGAAATGTCGAAGGTAGTCTTGTCCGAGCAGCAACACGTGATATTAGATGCCCGCCGGGTGACCACTATGCGAGAATACGTTACCGCCGCTGCAAAGCGAGCCGTGGTCGTCAAGGAAGACGACCTCCCCACTAAAGCTGACATCCAGGCGAATCCTGATATAGTATCGAAGGCCCTCTTCCCTGAGCTCAAGACATGGTCCGACAACAAATGCTTTAAGATGCAGGAGATAGCCAAAGCGTCGAACAGCATGACTTCGAGATATGTGTGCACATGGAAATTCGTGAAGAACGATAAGGGCGTGATGGAGCGTACCATCCGACTACGCTTGGTACTCCGAGGCTTCATGGACCTCGAAGCTCTCGACGTAGAAACATTTACGGGAACGGCAAGAAGGTCAAGCCAGAGGTTACTCGCTAGCGCGGCAGCGTGCAAGAAGCAGTGGATCATTGCTTCCCTCGACATCAACATGGCCTTCCTGAAGGGATTGGCCTATCAGGAACTTGCTGAGGCTACTGGTGATAAGGAACGTGTGGCGTGCTTTACTTTGCCGCCTGGATCGGCCACTGTGTTCCGCACTCTTCCAGGATTCGAGAACTACGACGAGTCGAAGCACTGCCTACAGTGGTTGAAACCGGGCACAGGCGCTAAAGACGCTCCACGGGCTTTCTCACTTAAGCTCAGGAGAACCACCAGAGGATTTGGCCTCCGACCCGCGTCTTACGACGAGGAGTTCGAAACGAGCAATGACTTGCTCACGGCTAAGCATGTTGATGACATTAATATGACCAGCACTGAGGACACCATTGACAAATGTGTCAAATGCGTTGAAGATACTTTCGTTAGGAGTAAGCTCAACAAGCGCACATATACAGCTCTTCGTCATCGATGAGCTAGAGGAATTCCGGCGCGGGGCGCAGCTAGTTGGCCCACCCGGCCCGGACGGACAATGTGGCAACCTGGCGTCGTTTTTTTCAAGATTGCGAGAGATTTGAGAATTCGTTTTGAGAACCATTTTTTTGTAATGTGGAGTGGGTTGTTCCGCGCTCGCTTGTTAAATCCTCAGGTCCGTAGCTGCAACATTACTGTCAAAAAACGTGGAGGAACGGTCGGCCGTCGGGGTGCATTTTCCAAAATGATCATGGTCTCGCGCACTTGAGAAAAGCTGCGAGCAAGCTACACGACTTCTGCACGTGTGTGCATTATAGCGCGTCGGGCTGCTGAGTTCTGGGGTCTTTAGCTGTAATATAACAGTAAACAAGTTGCGAAATAAATCGTGTTCTAGTTACTTTGAAGCTAATAGTTATCTGAAATTTCTTGTCGGCATCTGAACACTATTTCGTGATTCCAGAGCTTTACGATGGCCCCGGCGGTAACCTGGTTGACGGTTCACCGCCGGCTCCCAGCATGGCTGGCACTGAGGACACCATTGACAAAGTTGTCAAATGCGTGGAAGGTATTTTCGTTAGGTGGAAGATATTTTAGTTAGGTGTAAGGTCCTTAGTGCTTTGAGATGCACTAAGGACGAGGACGGTAATGTTACCGTGGATCAAGATGAGTATATATATTAAACAGCTCCGTCCTATACAGCATCCCGAACTTACCGGCGCTGGCGCTGACGCTCCAGCAACCGAGATGGTGGCAGGCATGTTCGTCAGTCTCAGGGGCGCGCTGGCACACGCACTGATCACCCAGGTGCGATTAACGGTGTACGTTGTATCTCTACAGCGCGTCCGAGAACCGACCAACATTCAAGTGCGACGACTGAGCGCGATCACCAGAAAGTTACAGGCCTGCCCGAAGAAGACCGTCTACCAGGCGATGAACCCCACGGGCGAGGTCGACTTACATAGCGACTCAGGATATCGACGCCTGAGTGGAGACGCCGACGACGACGTCAAAGGCTATGGTATTCGCGGGGCAAGCCTGCTACGACGTGGAAGCACGTCATCTGGTAAGCCTGTCGTTCGTTTGATTGATGCGCACTGCAAGTCTCACCGTTTGCAGGTCCGCTCGAGCTCTTCAGCAGAGACACTAGCAGCAGCCCATAATATGGAGGACTGTTATCCCACGATTGTGACTCTGCGCGAGCTCCACGCGGGGCCGCTCACAGCCACTCTGTAGAAAGATGTTCTTGAGATGGGTGGTCTGAGCGTCAATGTCACTTTGACCATCGATGCTGAGTCTGTTTTCAAGTCCTTGTCAAGCACAGACTTGAAGAAGCCGACTGATTGTACCCTTTTAGGACACAGCAGACGACAGATGATGGAGCGTGGAATCGCGCGCAGCATTCAGTGATGGTACCCGCGATATGACTGCGGATGGCCACACCAAGGGGGGGCATCGATAGAGAAATGCTCCTACAACTCATGGGAGGTATACAGACCTTCAAACATGACCTGAAGAGGCATACTCCACATCGGGCTGGCCAGACATGAATTTCTGACGCCGCCTGATAAGTATGTCATACATATGCGAGGCAACTTGCTGGCGGGTCCACCTTCCTTTGGGCTCGTTTCCTTTCCTGTCCTTGTGTAGGTTAGCTGCTGTGCCTGCTGTGTAGCGGCGACGGGCTCACGCTTCGTCTCCCTCCCCCCCTGACTCTAAAGCGAGCTGAGGGACGTAAGGAGTGGAAGCGAGCGTGCGCCCGCGCCCGCGGCCGCGTCGGCTCAAGCGGCCGGCCGCCCAAATTTGACTGTGCCTCACCGCGAGGCACACTATCGC